TCTGGCCACAACTCTAGGGACCTAGTTTCTGAGTCAAAGCTTGGAAACAATTGAGATCCCCACCCCATAACCATACATAAAATTGCTGGGCATGAAAAAACTAATATAGCTATGCTACAAGGATTGGCCTTGGGGTCTGGCATATTCCCTTGATCTCATTTGGAGAATAGTTTGCCATGATTGCTTAGGTATCCAGGTGAGCGATACAGGCCCTCTGGGCCTCTTGTAGTGGTATTTAAAATTAATGTATTGCCCTATCCAAGTCACAATGGTAGCCACAGATCAGTTTGATCTGTTCAAAGAATATGGCACAGACAAAGCGTATAGTTCTGAGGGACCACAATAACTTCATGTAGTGGAAAAAAGCAGACATGATCTTTTCTGATGTTGCCAGACTTGTAGAGGTTAAAATCAGCAACAACATACCTGTGAGCCACGCTACTACAATATCTGTGATGCATTTTGTATAAAATTCTAAGAAGTCTCGTATATTCATGGTTCATAAATACTGAAAGTGTATGGAGTGCATACATATTCATATTGAACAAATAGAAATTTTGTAAATCATCATGACACAGTGATTCGTTGCAATAAGTTAAACAAGATTCTTTAAAAAGGATAAATAAGTCCTTCAATACAATTGGTATGGAAGAGGTTAAGGTTTTCGCGTTTCAAATTTGGTCAAAGACTGAAGTAAAAGGCAAAATTTGCTTTTGGAAAAAAATATTTTTACAGACTTCTTCAGTCAGATTGTGTCCTATGAAGATGATATTACACTTCCATCAACCTAATGTTAAGGAAATATTTGAAAAGAAAAACGTTATTTATGGTAATTTGTAATATTAAATGCTTCAATTATGTTGCCTTTTTTCAAATGACTTTAAAATCAGATTCCGAATTAGAAATGTAAACTATGTACATAAACACCGAGTTTTGTCTGTTGAAGAGAAACATAATCTCAGCCAAGATAATTTCGTTTTATGTATAATTTCCGTATTTGAATATAAATGTTATCATCACTTCGATGTTATTGGCTGCGGAGCTGATATTGGACACCTGTATAACTGTAACAGTTATTATTGTCTGTCTGTCCTGAATACTAACGACATACCTGTCTAGATACCCGGCACATTTACGTGGGGAATGTTCTCTATTACGAAGTAGTGACATTCTCGCGCTGGGGATGCTGTGATGATCACCTTCACAAGGGAGGCAACTCAGGTTGGTAATGATACAGCTAAGTTGATGCTGTTGTAGAAGTTATTCATCCGTAAACTAACAACAAATGTCAAGGTCACAGGTTCCTTGCAAAGAATAATTAATTTGTAATGTACAAATTTCAAATTTTTAAAACGATCATTATAGGTAAGATGTCTAGATTTTAAGACATATGGTAGCAAGACGTTCCTTACTTTTTGGAGATAAATTGTTTCTTGGAAATAGTTTTTAAGAAGTGACTCAGCTGAAAATCATGGCTTTTCTGAGATGACTCAGCTCTGGGTCACATCTTCTCTGAGGTGACTCAACTCTGGGTCACAGCTTCTCTGAGGTGACTCAGCTCTGGGTCACAGCTTCTCTGAGGTCACTCAGCTCTGGGTCACAGCTTCTCTGAGGTCACTCAGCTCTGGGTCACAGCTTCTCTGAGGTGCCTCAGCTCTGGGTCACAGCTTCTCTGAGGTGACCTAAATCAGGGTCACAGGTTCTCTGAGGTGACTTAGCTCTGGTTCACAGCTTTTCTGAGGTGCCTTAACTCAGGGTCACAGCTTCTCTGAGATGACTCAGCTCTGGGTCACATCTTCTCTGAGGTGACTCAACTCTGGGTCTCAGCTTCTCTGAGGTGACTCATCTCTGGGTCACAGCTTCTCTGAGGTCACTCAGCTCTGGGTCACAGCTTCTCTGAGGTGACTCAGCTCTGGGTCACAGCTTCTCTGAGGTCACTCAGCTCTGGGTCACAGCTTCTCTGAGGTGCCTCAGCTCTGGGTCACAGCTTCTCTGAGGTGCCTCAGCTCTGGGTCACAGCTTCTCTGAGGTGACTTAGCTCTGGCTCACAGCTTTTCTGAGGTGACTTAACTCAGGGTCACAGCTTCTCTGAGATAACTCAGCTCTGGGTCACAGCTTCTCTGAGGTGACTTAAATCAGGGTCACAGCTTCTCTGAGGTGACTTAACTCAGCTTCTCAGAGATGTCTCAATTCTGGATCACAACTTCTCTGAGATAACTCAGCTCTGGATAACAGTTTCCTTAAGAATATTTAACTCTGGGTCACAGCTCCTATGGGATAACTCAACTCTGGGTCACCGCTCCTATGAGATAACTAAACGCGGGGTCTCAGCTCCTATGAGATAACTCAGCTCTGGGTCACAGCTCCTATGACATAACTCAACACTGGGTCACAGCTCCTATGATATAACTCAACTCTGGGTCACAGCTTCTATGAGATAACTCAACTCTGGGTCACAGCTCCTATGAGATAACTCAACTCTGGGTCACAGCTTCTCCGAGACGACTCAAGTTCATTTCTAACTCGGGTGGTTAGCAATGAACCCAGACAATAAACCATACTTTAACAGGCAATTTTCTGTTCCTGTTTTATTGCTTGTTTTTTTTCTTCTCCTTCGAACAAGACATTAAATCTAAGACATTGACAAATAATAGAAGTTAGTTGAACCGACAAATGGTTGTGGGTGAATTCACTACAGGGCAAGTTTATTTTAAAGGATCAGAGCAGAAAATAAGGCTAGATGACGCGGTTGACAGCTTGTTACTTTAACAAAGCTTTTGCATATTTTGAGATAAATACAAATTACACAGTCAGAGTCAAAGTAAAAAATACCTACTGTTGGATTTAGAAGATAAATGTCAGAATTGATATAAAAGTGTGGCTACTGTATGT